CACCCTGGTTTCTGGTTTGGTTTGGTTTTGTCAGATAGGTTCTTACCCTGTAGCCCAGGCTAGCCTTGGAACTCTGTAGCCCAAGCTGGCCTGGCACTGTTTTGTAGTTGAGCTGTACGATGTGAGCTACCCTCAGCCAGGGCGGGTGAGGCCTGCCTGTAAGCCCGTGCTCAGAGGCTGGGGCAGAAGATCATGAGTTCTAGACTGGCCTGAGTTCTGGGAAGTTTGCAGCCAGTCTGTGTAGTGAGACTAACGTTATCTTTAAAAGACAGCAGCAACAAGGCAGCGGCCATTAGATGGTTAGTTGGGGTCAAATAGTGCCCAGTGGTGAAGAGTTCATCACCCCATTGCCGGCTGAGTAGTCCACGCTGCACAGACCGACGTGGATCGTGTGTGGACAGATGGAGGGCTTCGGCCCCGCCCCCGGCTCTCAGTCCTTGTGGTCACAGGTGTGGGTGGCCCTGCGTCCTGCAGCCTCCGGGTAGGGTGTTGTTGACTGAAGTGTGTGTTTCCCTTTCAGACGGTGGAGTGTGAGGAAGGCAGTGAGGAGGACGAGTCCCTCCGAGAAATGGTGGAGCTGGCCGCGCAGAGGCTCTACGAGGCCCTGACGCCCGTGCACTGACGCTTCAGTCCCAGCACATGGACTTTTTAACCCTCTTTGCGGCTTTACGGCCGCTACTTCAAATAAAGAACCTTAGTTTCTCCGGGTGGCCTGTTTCCTTCTGCACGGTGGCCTGACTCCTGCCGGACCTCCTGTCCTCGAGGAGCCGCCCCCACCCGAGCTGACTCCGCCTGCAGGATCCTAAGACTCCAGCAGCTGCCTCAGCATCCCTCTGCCTGGACGTCGGAAAGGGAAAGCAGTGGCTGAACTGGCATGTCTGTTCTGGGTTGAAGTACCGTGCCGCCACGGGTTTGAGACCCGCCCTCCACCCTTCCCGAATCCCTGGGTTTGTGTTTGTAACATCGACACCTTCAGGACTCCTCCCTTTGTGTGGGATCCGCAGCTCAGGTCAGAGCGGGTTCTACGACACGTGTGTGGGTTAGCTCACTGCTCTACGACAGATGTGTGGGTTAGCTCACTGCTCTACGACAGATGTGTGGGTTAGCTCACTGCTCTACGACACGTGTGGGTTAGCTCACTGCTCTACGACACATGTGTGGGTTAGCTCACTGCTCTACCACAGATGTGGGGGTTAGCTCACTGCTCTACGACACATGTGTGGGTTAGCTCACTGCTCTACGACACGTGTGGGTTAGCTCACTGCTCTACGACACACGTGTGGGTTAGCTCACTGCTCTACGACACGTGTGGGTTAGCTCACTGCTCTACGACACACGTGGGGGTTAGCTCACTGCTCTACGACACATGTGTGGGTTAGCTCACTGCTCCAATTTCCTGATGTACATAGAATTGAGGCCAGGAAGTCACTGGGGGAGGGGAGGGGTGCCTCACCCCCAGAGCACACTCACTGTCAAGCCACAGGGTCGTGTTCGGTGTGTAAACACTCCTGCCCTTCGGTAACAGTGTTAGTCTGACTCCTTAGAATGAACTCGGTAAGACAGCCCAGTCCCGTGTCTTTGGCCCCATATCATACAACATTTTATGTATAAAGCCGGACATTCGTTCTAACACTGGGGCAGGATGCCGTGGAGTCCGGGGGTCTGCAGTCAGTGCCGGGACAGCTCTGGCTTTCAGAGCAGCCGCCTGACTGTGTCCCTCAAGGGGAGGCCAGGCACCCAGGAGAGGCGAGCCCCACTTGGGCGTGGCCGGTGATGGACCGGTGCGCCCGCCTGCGCTGGGCACTGAGCTGTGGGCACTGAGCTTCCCAGTCTCCAGGACACCCCAGCCACCGCCGGTCCCGGAGCGGTGGGGTGGGCGGTGGGCCGGCCCAGGGAGCCCTGCTTTACCGACTGGCGGGCCGGGGTTCGCCCCTCCCACGGCTGGCCCCGCCCCCCGCTGCCTCCACATCCGGCGCGGACCGGCGGTTCCGAGCCCGGGGAACCATGGCGCTGTGCGAGCGGGCGGTCAGCGGAGGGGCTCTGGTCTGGCCTCGCGTGCTGCTCTTCGGGGACTCCATCACGCAGGTACCCGGCGCACCCTGAGCTGCGTCCGCGCGGGTCGGGCGGGCCTGGGGTGGAGTCCGCGTCTTTTCAGGGGCACTTGACATGGCCCGGCGCACGTCTGGGGTGCACGGGGGTCTCTACATGGCCCGGCGCACGTCTGGGGTGCACGGGGGTCTCTACATGGCCCGGCGCGCGTCGGGGGCGCACGGAGGGCTTGGGGGTCCGGAGCAGCCCCGCGTTCGCTTCCCGCAGCCTCCTGCGGGTTCCTTGCCGAAGCCACTTTGAACTTTGAACCGGCCGGTTCATCCCTCGCTTTCTCCCGCGGCGCAGGTCCAGTACCAAGTTGTTTTGACAACAAAATGCTTCCAACAGTACTGAAAAGTAATCCTCTCACCCAATACCGTTTGACTCCCAATTAAGGAAGTTCCTCAAGATGCCTCCCCTCGGAAGCAAACCCACTTCCCCGTGGTTTTCAGATGCTCACGCATGCCGTCCCCTAATAATTGGCAACATTACTTTAGGTGTTTGTTTTATGTTTTTCTTAATGGTTATATTGCTTTATATATATAAATTTTATGATTAACTTAATTTCACTTATCAGCCACGGATTCCCCTCTCCTCCCTCCTCCCCCCCCCCAGCCCTCCCCCCCCAAGGCATGATCTCCCCTGGGGAGTCAGCCCAGCCTGGTAGACTCAGGCAAGGCAGGTCCAGTCCCCTCCTCCCTACACCCAGGCTGAGCAAAGTGTCCCAGCATAGGCCCCGGGCTCCAAACAGCCAGGCCATGCACTAAGGACAGGTCCCGGCTCCACTGCCTGGGGGCCTCCCAAACAGTTCAAGCTAATCAACTGTCCCACTTATCCAGAGGGCCCCGGTCACATTTAGGTTTTTGTAGGTGGTTGAGGTGGCGTGTCGCTGCCCAAGGACTGCCGTGACTGTTAGGGAAATCAGTAGAGCATTGGGCTTCCTGGTTTTCAGCTGTGGAGATAACACAATGTCATCCTCTAAGTCGACGTAGTAGACTTTCTCCGGTACAGATAACAAAGGTCTCGTGTTAGTTAAGTCGCAGTAAAATGCAGGTGACTGGTTCAAGTCCATCGGAGGAAGAAAACCGCGTTTCCAAAGAGCTACCAAGTGAAGCACAGTGACCCCCACAATACCCTTCCAAGCAAAAGGATGGCAAGAAGCTTGGAGGTGTCGGGGCGTCGTCCCTGCCCCCGAAGGGCCTGGCCCACACCTGCGCCTTGTCTCTGGCTGGGGATGGTAACGGCTTTTCTCTTCAGTTTTCTTTCCAGCAGGGCGGATGGGGCGCATTGCTGGCCGACCGACTTGTCAGGTGAGAACAGTCCCCAGATCCAGATTGGATTCGGCTGCTTCCTGGTGGGAAGCCTCCTCTGAAGAGCAAAGACACAAACCATGGGTTTGCCTTTGTTGGCCTCTTTTCCTCCTTGGGGTGTTAAAGGGACCCAGGCAGGCACTCCGGTTCTGCACAATGGCGTTTGCCACCCCCTGAGATCGGGTGGCACTTGTGGTCACTGGGGTGCCTGCCTGTGATCCTCCAGACCACCAAGTTCCCGCTGTTGGCGGGTCCCTGACATTCTGTACTTGCTCAGATTAGCGCCCATCAGAAGGTCCACTGTGGACACACCCGAGCCACCACAGACACGGATAGAATCAGCCCCTTGCATGGAGTTCTTATCTCACTGAGGGAGACGGGAGGCCGGGCAGGGTCTGAGCGCTACCAGGAAAGCCACTCTTTGTCATAACCCATCTTTTTTTAACCCGTTTTATTTCAGAAAATGTGACGTTCTGAATCGTGGATTTTCAGGGTACAACACCAGGTGGGCCAAGATCATCCTCCCAAGATTAATTAGGAAAGGGAGCGGTGTGGAAAACCCCGTGGCGGTTACAATTTTCTTCGGTGCCAATGACTGCTCACTCAGAGGTAAGGGCACTTCTAGATTGTTCTTGTTTCTCCTGGACCCCGGCCACCACATGTTTGTATGTGTCTCCCAGGAGAGAGTTTTCCAGAGAACAGCGAGTTCCTGGAGCTCGCCTGTGTGGGTTCCTCTGGGCTTTGATGTGGTCTGATCTGGCTCCGGTACTCCGGCTCACTTTCCACATGACTGCCTTGTCGGCCCACCTGAAGCTACTTTCCATCCTTGGCTCTTCCACTCTGGTCCTCAGCTGGTCCAGCTGGCCGCGGAGGGCTGGCCTTGGGTGAGAAAGGAGTGTCAGTTTTGTCAGAGACAAGATCTCCTGTAGCCCAGGCTGGCCTCAAGCTCACCAGCTAGCTAAGGCTAGTTGCTTCTACCTCTTCTACCTCTCACGTGCTGGGGGGGATAGGTGTGTGCCACAACCTGGCCTGGTATTTTTTTTTTTTTTTCTCTCTCTCTCTCAAATTACACGTGGTCCAGAGAAATACGTCCCCTCGACAGCAGTGGCCTGGCTGGCAGGCTCGTGGGTGACTTTGCTTTTTACATCCTGTGGTTCGCACAGTCTGTAGAGAGAGCCGTGTGCTGGTGTGCCAGCCTGACTGGAAGCAAGCCTCTGCAGTCGGGTGGGGGTTGCACACACTTCACTGTTTTCACAGCTATCCTGAGAGGCAGACCTGCCAGCCCCCTCATTTCCCAGTGAGGACGCTGAGCTTCAGAAGGTTCGACATTTTCCTGAGGTGGAATGTCTAGTCAGTGACAGGCGGGGTTAGAGCTGGGCAGTCTCATGTCGCAGCCCACAGAGCCAGCTTTACCCATGGTGGGGAACCTAGAGAAAAGACCAGAACACTCAAAATGCCCCAGCCAGCCTCTGAGGCCTGAGCTGTGAGCGGTTATAGGTAACTGGGTTTAAGCAGGGAGTCTCGTCTTTGTGTCTTTTGGTATCAACGGTTCCTCAGACACACTAAATTTGCAAAAACTAGATTCCTGCCTGGGAATGGTGGCACATGCTTGTGGTCTCAGCACCGGAGGCTGAGACAGAGCTCTGCAAGGTCCAGCCTGAGCTAAGAGTAGGAAAGATAGATACCGTCTCAAAACACAAAGGCCTGCTGGTGGTGATGGCGTGTACCTTCAATCCCAGCACGCAGGAGACAGAGGCAGGTGGATCTCTGTGAGTTCCAGGACAGGCTCCAAAGCTACACAGAGAAACTGTCTCAAAAAGAAACAAAAACAAAAACAAAAACAAAAACACACAAAGGCCTAGCAATGTCAAAGACTGGGTGGTTGCTTGCCTCGTGTGTCCAGGCCTGAGTTCAGTTCCCTTCTGAGCGCGACATAAAACTTCGGCTGGGTGTGGGGGTGCCGTAATTTAATCCCAGCACTTGGGGGGTGGGGGGCAGGGACAGGAGGCTCTTCGTGAGTTCCCCCTCAGGACTACATAATGAGACACCCGTCCTAGCTACCTAGTGAATTTAGAACCTGTCTAGGGCAGAAACTCTCCAAGGTATATTCATCGTATTCGTTGTTTCCGAAGTGTCCGGACTGAGGTGTGCATGTCTCGAACAGATGAGAACCCCAAGCAGCACGTGCCCTTGGAGGAGTACCGTGCTAACCTGAGGGACATGGTGCAATACTTGAGGTCTGTGGACATCCCCGGGGAGCGGATCATTCTCATCACCCCGCCCCCGCTGGGCGAAGCCGCCTGGGAGAAGGAGTGCCTCCTGAAAGGTGGGCAGGGCCGGCTGCTGTGGGTGCGCAGGGTCCTCAAAGGTGGGCAGGGCCGGCTGCTGTGGGTGCGCAGGGTCCTCAAAGGTGGGCAGGGCCGGCTCGGGTGGGTGCACAGGGCTCCCGCTCCAGGGTCCTGTCAGTCCCTGGAGAACACACTCCGAGAGTCAACTCTGTTGTCCTCCTCTAGACTGTTTGACATAAAGCGGGCCGGGGATTCTGGTGGGTAAGTCAGGAGGACATCCGTGCCCCAGCACCCACGCTCCGTAGTTGCCAGACGCCAGGATGCACACACAGCCCACTGCCAGCTGCAGCAGCTGGGGCAGGCCGGGGCTCGCTCTCCCCTGGCGCAGGGAAGGCATCTGCGGCCGAGCTGGCACACCCGACTGGAAAGGTGTGCTGTGGACTTTGTCTCGGCTGCCTGAATGCGGAGGACGGGGTTGACCGGGACACATTATTGGCTTTTCAGCCCAGGTCAGCTGTCAGAACCAGGGAAGAACCGTTCTTTTCCGCACATGCAGCGTCCCGACATCCCTCCCTTAGCCTCTCCTGAGCGCCTGTCTCCCCAGCTCTGGCTCGGCCTTCTGAGCCAGCAGGCTTGCCCCATGCCCCGGGTGGCCTGCCTTCCTGCAAGTCTGGGAGGTAGGCAGCATGGGCTTGGCCAGGTGTGTGCATTTTGCTCTAGACTCTGTGCATGAATTGCATAGGTATGGCCGTCATAGACGCCTCTGAATGGTTGAGCGTGCTGGTCCCAGGCACAGCCCTGTAGTAGCGACCTCGGGCAGTGACTGGTCTCTGCAGACTGCAGACGTTCCTTCCTCTCATGACTCCAGTAGCTGTTGGCTGCATGGTGACTCTTGGGCTCATGGTCTCGACGTTGCTT